AGCAATGTGCGGGCAGCGAGGTACCGGAGGATCAGGCAGAGAATGGTCAGGGTCACAAGTCGGGTTCAGTAACTCACGGGCAGCGCTGTACAGAGGATCAGGCAGAAGGAAGGTCAGGCAAGCCAGGGGTTAAACAGGAGATGGTCAGCAGGGTCAGGAACAATGCAGAGGTCGGCAACAGAAGATTCACAGAATACCAGGTACAGGGGCTCATGGGAAACAATACACCAAGGCACTGATCACAGGTCTGGTCCTGCTTAAATACACCTCCTGCAATCAGCCTCAGGTGATGGCTTGATTGCAGGAGTGAGATTCTGGCTGCTGAGAGCACTTGCTGGCCAGCCTTGGTACTGCAGCCCATAAGGCAGGTGAATCCCACCACCATTGGCGATTCCATTCCTGACACCGTCAGAGATGCTAGGTAATCACTGGGGCCGGCGGGTACTCACTGGCCGGGACCCGTTGATTGACAGCCGTGGCTGCGAATGGTGGCGCAAGTAGGGAGCGTGCCCCCCCCACCCAGAAACACAAGATCACATATATATGTGTGATTTTGCGCACCCCTGCCATCCTGTAGCAGTATATCTGCTATAGGGCAGTCGGGAAGTGGTTAAGGCTCACTTCTGATATACACTATATTGCCAAAAGTATTGCGAAACCCCTCTGAATCATTGGATTCAGGTTTTCCAATCATCTCCATGGTTACAGGTGTATAATATCAAGCACCTAGGCGTGCAGACTGCTTCTACAAACATTAGTGAAAGAATAGGTCACTCTCAGGATCTCAGTAAAATCAAGCGTGGTACCGTGATAGGTTGCCACCTGTGCAATAAGTCCATCCGTGAAAATTCCTTGCTATTAAATATTCCACAGTCAACTGTTAGTGGTATTATAACAAAGTGGAATCATCCGGGAACAACAGCAACTCAGCCACGAAGTGGTAGGCCACGTAAAATGACAGAGAGGGGGTCAGCGCATGCTGAAGCACACAGTGCACAGAAGTCGCCAACTGTCTGCAGAGTCAATGGCTAAAGACCTCAAAACTACATGTGGCCTTCAGATTAGCACAACAACAGTGCATAGAGAACTTCATGGAATGGGTTTCCATGGCTGAGCAGCTGCATCCAAGCCTTACATCACCAAGTGCAATGGAAAGCGTCGGATGCAGTGGCGTAAAGCACGCCCCACTGGACTCTAGCAGTGGAGACGTGTTCTTTGGAGTGAAGAATCACGCTTCTCTGTCTGGCAATCCAATGGACAAGCCTAACTTTGGCAGTTGCCAGGAGAATGGTACTTGACTGATTGCATTGTGCCAAGTGTAAAGTTTGGTGTAGGGGGGGATTATGGTGTGGGGTTTCTTGTCAGGGGTTGGGCTTGGCCCCTAAGTTCAAGGGAAGGGAACTCTTAAGGCATCAGCATACCAAGACATTTTGGACAATTTCATGCTCCCAACTTTGTGGGAACAATTCCACAAGGTCCAAAAAACAAAAAGGATTAGCAAGTTTGGGGTGGAGGAAGTTGACTGGCCTGCACAGAGTCCTGACCACAACCCAATAGAACATTTTTAGGATGAATTAGTGCAGAGACTGTGAGCCAGGGCTTCCCATCCTCACAAACGTGCTTCTGGAAGAATGGTCAAGCATTCCCTTAGACACAGTCCTAAATCCTAAACCTTGTGGACAGCCTTCCCAGAAAGGTTGAAGCTGTTATAGCTGCACAGGGTGGGACAACTCAATATTGAACCCTATGGACTAAGACTGGGATGCTACTAAAGTTCATGTGCGTGGAAAGGCAGGTGTCCCAATACTTTTGGCAATATAGTGTATATTGAATTCTAATTATCAACTTTCTCCATGTATGTATTTCTGATTTTGAAATGATGTACAGAACAAGTCAGCTCTTGATTTATCAGTAAATGTGTTTTTTGTGCAAATTTGTTTATTCTGCAGTATGGGAGTATCTTAGTACTTGGCTCCCAGAGAAAGATAAAAAGCAAGCATGTATTTAGCAGGCAAGCAGTGGCTTGGTGTCCTTTGAAGAAGTCTCACTTCTATTTTTGTTATTGTGTTCTGTTCCAAAGGGGACAAGGTACATGTAGTAGTATGTCCCATCTTCCTACATGCTATCGGTCGAACGATGCACCCCACTTTCCTCCAGGGCCATGAGACAATGCAGCTAGCAAGATAATGGCCCTTTTCTCTGTCTCCAAGCACTTTCCTCATCAAGCTACAGGGAAGGACAGTGTGACTTCTACATCCCTTGGGCCACAGAAGAGAGAGGGCTGTCAGGTGCAATATCCAACTAATTATCATCTGGGACTGCTTCGCAGTGGATTCTGGAATCCCTTGGCCGGGGAAATGAGAAGAGGTTCATATGGGATCTGAGGAGGTACACCAAAGGGGACTCAGAGCTCCTTAAAGAGACTGTTGCTGATTTTTGGTCTACATTTTGTACTGTGTTTGCCTTGAAGTTGTCCTCAAATTTTGCAGTTCCTTGGGAATCCCATACACCCCTAGAATGCAGAGAGTAGGCAACTAAAATGTCCCAAGCAAACCCTCTCCCCTTCTGCTAATGCAGCCACTTCTTTGTTAGCTGCATTGTCAGATGGCCATGGAGGGGAGAGGGGTGTCAAACCTCACAGGTAGCCTTAGATAGCACATAGCAAGGTGGGACAAAGTACTACATGTACTTTGTCCCCTGGGGAACAGAACACATTTAATACAAATTTAAGTGAAATGTCTTCTTTAAATATACAGCATGTTTGATTAGAACAGTTTGAATGATCTTGAATGTAAAGTGTGCCAACAGTGTATTCAAACATGAGTGGGAGAACCATAGATCTATGCTCTGGAAAAAAAGTTAAAAAAAAAAAAATCATATATCAATTAAAAAAAAAAATGGGGCAGACTGTGGACCACTTGGACTTTTTTTTTCTGCTGTCACTCTATGTTTGTATTTCCTTTTGCTCATAGCAACCTTTTGGAATCCATACCTTTATTTTTAGACACCTAGATTGCAAAAATGACAGCTGGAAGGTGCCTGGTTTGTAAGGCCAGCTAGAAATGTTTTATTTTTTACATCAACCCAGTCTGTTTTGTTTATTTATGTATTTAAAATGCTTTTTTTCCTCTAAAACATGGAAACAGTTTGAAGGGAAATCCTCCTTTAGATGGAACAAAAAAAAATATATAAAACTCCATTTTCAGCTTTTATTAATATAAAAAGCATAAAACAAGGGCAGTAAGAATGTAACAGCATACTCATATATAAAAAAATATGCCATTTCAATAAACAAAATCTTGATAACTTCTTCTAAAACATAATAACACTATAAAAAGTTAAAAATAAAGATCCCTGATATAATATAGCTTTAATTTTTAAAGTTATCTTATAAAGAAAAGTATAGTGATTTTTTGTGATAATTCTGTTAAGATTTACCTTTTATTAAAGGGCATATAAACCTGAAAGGCACATTTACTAGCAAAAATTAGACATGGAAAATAAAGGAGCAATTGGCAATGGGGTAAGTTTCTGCAGCTATGTGGACCCAAGCACCAGCCTCAATTGGCTTACAAAAATAATTTGGTCCTCAGCTGCCTGGCAATTAAGAGCTATAGCATATCAACAGATATATTAACATAACTATTGACATCCATTGTATCAAAGGCATTTAGTGCAGGGCATTATTTGATAGAAGAGGTAGAGGCATAGGTTGATGCAAGGAGTAAGGCATAGGCTGGTGCACATGGTAAAGGCATAGATTGGTGCACTGGGTAAATCGCATTGCTTGGTGCATGGGATAAAATACATACTTTGGACATGGGATAAAGGCATAGGTTAGTGCATATGGTAAAACACATAGAATGGTGCAGAGGAATAAGGGGCATAGGGCATAGTTTTGTACAAATGAAAAAAGGCATAGTTTGGTACATTACAAAATGACCCAACATTCAATTCCCCTTCACTCTCAATTTTCTTTGTGTACCACCCAGTTAGTGAGCATGATGGCATTAGGCCCGAAAAGTAGACATTTCTTGCACAACAGGTGACCAGTTTATGTGGGATAAGACAATTGTGCAAATTTAGCAGACTAAAAAATAGCATTTCAAACCCTAAATTAATTGTTAATTCATCCACAGATTACATTGTTTCACAGTTGATATCGCAATGTATAAACTGCCTTGTTTCTTACACCTTTCAAAAAAGTTAAATCCTAACTTTTTAACAATGGACTTTGAAAAAATGGAAATCAGCCACAGTTTTTGTTGTTTCACAGCTGACATTGCAATAAATGAATTTTTCGCATTTCTCAAAAAAAGTTAAATCAGTTAATTGAAAATAGAATTTTTTTCTTCAGTATCACAGATCTGGAAATATCTGAAACTTTTGAAACAGTTGGAGTTTAAGTGCAGTCTAACATCTTCGGTGACCAACCTAGAAGGCAGAAGGCATTGAAGAGACGCTGACTAAGCAGTCCTTCATTTGGTCTGGTATCCCTACTTTCTATTTTTGATTTCCTTATCCCCTTTATTTTATATGTTAAAAGGAAAATCCTGTTTTCACTTGAAGAGAATCTTCTGCCTCGTGTACCAAATTTTACCAAGACCAGAGGGTGCAATTTGAAATATTTTCTGCAGCAGCCCCTGCTGGTGAAATCAAGGATTACACTTTAATTTTCAGGCATAATTCTATACTATAAATGTGTATTACAGGGGATAGACTTGTGAATGCTTAACCACATTAGGAACAATATATTATGGGTCTTTCTGCTGTTTGCAAGGGAGCTACAAGAAGGGGAACTAAATAGAAAAATCAGAATTAGACAGGAGCTTTCATAAACTGGATATTAACTTTATCTCAGATCCTAAATAGATTTAGTGGCCTTTTAAGTAGTGGTCCTTCCTTACTGTAATGGGTATAGAGTAAAATAGACACAATTAACTTTTTGTAATTTAAAGAAATAGTTTGATCAGAGAGAAGTACAGGCTGGTTTGTCCTTTCTATGCCTCCATTTTGATCTTCCCATGTTCTCCTTGATATTGGTTGTCATGTTCTTCTTCCTCTAAGGGAACCTGAAAGAGCAATTAACATAATAGAAGAGACTTGTTTTATCCAGTTAATAGATGTAAAACAATTAAAAAGAAAACAGTACTCTTAAAAAAGTAATTTTTTTTGTCATAAGTTTAATGCTCCAAAGGTACCATCAGGGGCGGACTGACCATTCGAGCACTCGGGCACTGCCCAAGGGCCCGGGGTCAGTAGGGGGCCCCATGAAATGCCCCTGGTACCTTTTTATAGGCTTTTTTTGAGTGTGGACAAGGACACAGGGGCCCCATGATCCCCTATTGCCCGGGGGCCCCATGAGTTGTCAGTTCACCCCTGGGTACCATATGTCTGTAGCTACTTTGAGCTTTTTCAATTGAAGTCAATATCTGAGCCTGAGGAAGTAATTTCTTAATCAGCACTCCCCTTGGGGGAGAAGGTATAACTAGAAACTAGTAAGTCTCAGAAGCACATGGTGGCCTGCAGGCAATAGTCCTTGTAATATAGAGGTCAGAGATGGTCCCTGATGCACCTACTGGTATTATATAGCAACTACAACTCAGTCCACCTTCATGGAGCTGGCCTATCTCAGGGGCCAGGTCTCAGACCATCCCAAAATGGAAGGCCTTGCTCATGGGTGTCAAAGTGTTATAGTTTTTGACCATACATGGGTGGAAGTGTGCTACAGACTTTTCAGACATTACAGAGCTGGTAGGAGGGCAAGGGCTTCGCTGTTTGCTTCCTGACAAGCTAACTGGGTGACTTGGCTGGAAACTGTTTTAGTAATCTGTCCCCAGTGTCACCATAATAATCGTGAAGAAGTTCTCTCCACAACTGGTCCCCAGCTGGGAGTAGGGATCATGACCTCTGGCACTTAGAGGATGTTACAAACTGTCAAAGTATATTTTTTAAGACTTCCTTATAGCCAAATGACCACATCCTTATGAAAGTCATGTCTTAAGTAGGAAAAACAGGACATTGGTTGTGTCATGGCACCTTCTTTTACCAGTTGCCCTTTGGTCAATATAACTTGTTGACCAGTGCAACTGGCTTGGGGCTATGCTAAAGAACTAACTCTCTAGGTGTTTAACCTAGGAATTTGGACATTGATGAACCAGAAAAGAGCTTTATTAGTTGCTTTTTTCCATGTATCTCTTATGCAATCCATAGTTACAAGTTCAGTTGACTGATTTTTTAGATTATAGCTATAGTGATCAAATTCGGACACTGGAAGTGTGATTTAAAGCACTTACACGGTACAATATTTTCAATATAAGCTTAATGATTTGGTTGGTAATTAACACAGCAGCTGAAGCAGTAAGCTGAAGCTGTAAAGGAGGATAGAACCGAGAACCTTCAACTATACCCATTGACAATTGAAAGAATGTAGGTGACAAGTTAGACACTGCTTGGAGTATTGTTGGAAACATACCATACTAGGTAGCAAGTCAGACATTTATTGCTTTATTTTTCAGATGGCTTCTATGATGCATTGCATAAATGACTTAGCAAAACCTGTTTGGCCACTTTTTAATGTCCCAGGTTGTTAAAGTAAACTGATGTTATTCCATCCAAGAGCAAATAAATAAATGACAGCATAGGGGTCTGAATTTAGGTATGACATGGCTGTTTACCATTTAGATGATTATACAGTATGTTAGTATAAAGATTTTATGCTGGCTAAGAACTAGGTAATTATTGTTACCTGAGGATGGGCCAGTCCATCTGAAAATAATGTTTTAGAGCCCTTTTACAGTATAGCTAGTGTTGGATAGTCACATTCAGCTCAGCTTTTTTGTAATGTTGAAGATATTTCACCACTCATTTATGAAGCTTTTTTGAATCTAATGAGTGTCAGGAACATGACCAAATCACCTTAGTCTAATCACCATAGCATGTGTGAAGGCAATGTTAACTGTCCACAAATGTGATGGGGGATGTGAAAGTTTGTGAAACCACCCTGTCCTAATTACATAATCCAATCCCATGGGGCCATGAAGCATGCTACTGTAGCACCCTGCTAGTGTAGCATGCTAGGCAAATTTAGTTTTTGTCTCTTTCTGAAGTCAAGGGAGCAGTGATTGTTTGGTCTGTTCAGGGTTTCACAGGCTGGGAGTTTGATTGCTTTCTCCTGCCCCTGGGCAAAGATCCCAGGGCATATGGATGGAGATGCAAATGACCAGCCTGAATATTTAATATGCTCTAGTCAATCCCTGGAGAGGAGAGTCTAGAAGGTTGCTGGGGGGGTGATAAATAATCTGAAGCTCTGGAGAGATGGTTCTCTTTCCTGTAGAAGAGGGTTCCAAGACTTAGAGAGGGGTTGCCCTTTCTAAGGCAACCCATGGACTGTGTAGCTGTTCTTTGAGGTCTCAGCTGTGGCAGAGCATGGATCCTGGAGCGATCTTCTGGGGAGCTAGCTGTAGGACTTCACCACAAGGGATCTGGTCTAGAGGAGAATTGTCTACCTCACTGGACCATGCCTGGAGAAAACTGGAAGGTGTGCTACCGTCCTGGGGACTTGTAAGTAATGACCCTAAAATGATTCCTGGTGAATGTGCCAGAGGTAGCTATGTACTGAGACAGCTCTTATAGGGTCTCAGAGTACTGGTCATTCCCCTGTCCTCAGCAGAATCCTTAAGTGTAAGCCTAGGGAATAATGTCCTCTTGTTACTGTGCAAACATTTTGGACTATCTCATGCTTTAATCCCTCCCCTGTTTAAAATTCTACAAGCAATACATTTCAAAAACACAACCCCCAGCATGTGTTTTTGGAGCTGGTGTGCATGGACTGGTGCTTGCAATGGTGGGCAGCCTCTGCACTATTAGGGATAAATCAACCAATACCAGGGTCCCCTACAGAGTTAACACTACACTATACATCCTAACTGTTCTATTTGTATTTCTGAAGGTAAATTGTTGCCAAATCAACATGATAAACACCAATGGAAATCTCTTCGCTACTATGAGATTTAAACACTTGCTGACAGTCATTTCAATAAGATGGAGCTACATAGGTGGTTTAAATGGGCTTGGTCATGTTACTAAAATCAATATCAATTCATTGCCAACAATAATTAATTAATAAGTGTTGCAATTGTTTACTAAGCAAATGGAACAGTTGGTTTCCTATGAGAGAGTCAGGGATTTTTTCTTATGGAGAATCTATCCCTATGCACACGGTGTGTGTGATGAACAATGGCCAGATTTGCACCCTGTACAAATCACTGATCAGCTTTGCCACTGTTTGTACATAATTGCTCATCCAAGTTGTTACCCGCGATTAGGGAATCTGGCCAGCTCTGGACAGCGTTTCCCACCACAGTTGATTGTACACTTTCCTGACAGACTCCATGGCAGCATATGTTTGGGTAGCTCTGCCCTCGCTTCTGCCTCATAGGACTCCACTCCCATAAATTTTCAGGCTGAGCCAGAGACCATGTTTCTTTTTGTCCTCCTCATAATATCCTTGGAGTGAAGTTTCCCCTACCTTTTGGAAGCATCAGCAGTCAGATCTCATGCAGGAACAGCTGTGCAGATATGAGGAGCATCCTGCAGCATCCAGGAGACTTCCAGCTTTACAGGATGACTCGAGTTGTCACCATGTCCCTAGCTATCAGTGGGGTGGAGTTTGGCACACATTTGCAGAGGATTGATGCCTGGAGATTTGACCCCCAGCAGGCATTTGCATTGGCTGGATGCCCTGCTATCAGCGGGTGGCCCAGTGTGAATACAGCAGCTGCAATCCTGCCTCTGGGATCTGGGTCCTTTAAGTACCTTTGTTGTAACTCTCTGAGTTTGTGTGGCTTGAGGTCAGCACAATACACTTGACCAGGCACCATGCAGACTGTTAAGGGGTAACTCCACTTTTGTTTAAAAAAAATAATAACCAAAACAAAAACATATGGAGAAGACTATGCTCTCTGAATGATCTGTCCGTATGCATTGCAGCATTTATTCAAGGTTTGGTGCAGTTTCCTATCTTTTTTCTTTTTTTTCTGTCCTGAAGAGAACTGTTTGTCTCATCATGGCCTGCATTCTGTATGACAGGGTCTGATTCATTAGCCACCTAGTGGAATCACAGTGCTCTGATTTGGGAAGCTGTAGTGTCAATATTCCTTTAGCAATGGTTAATCCTTTAGGGGTTTCATTTTCACCTAGCATACAGAAACAGCTATTACATTGTCTTTTTTTTTTACAGCTTAGGTTAAATTTTAAATTCATTTTTAAATTAAATGGTATGTTGCACCCTCTAGTTTAGCTAGATATGATTTTTGTGAGTCAGAGGCTTGCTAAAAGCCTGGGATAAGTCAGCCTGGAAGTGAATTAGAGAGGTCACCTCAAGACAGGCTGGGAGGCTCTACAGGTCAGGGCTTCTAGAGTCCTCCCAACTTCCAGAAACTGCTGGAACTTTCTGGAAGAGGAGTAGAGGAGGGGTGGTGGCCCAGATTTGCATGTTTAGGGGAACTTGGCCAATCCCCAGGCAGGAGGCCAGGTATTGCGGCTATGAGCAACCCTTAAATGTGGCAGAGCCTGTGCAGCAGGGGAGTCAGGTGAAAGATGGATTGAGAGAAGGAGCTGGAGTCTGGAACCTAGGAGGGGGCCCCAGGGAGGGGGGCCTACCTACAGGCTGGTGCTGAATGGAAGGATCTCCACTGCACCACCATATCCTAGGGAGGACATCCTGTCAGCAGGAAAGGAGCCAGCCCAGGATAAGGCGCAAAAGCAGCTGCAACCCGTCAAGCTAACAGGACAGTATGAGTACTTCCACACCCTTTGGGCCAGAGAAGGCAGAGGGTGGTCAGGTGCAATACCCAACTAGTTCTCATCCAGGACTACTTAACTGCAGATCTTGGAATCCCTTGCCCAGAGATGCCTTCAGGACAGCCGGGTGAAAAAGGAAGGATTCATCTGAGATCTCAGCAGGTACACCAAAGGGGACATCAGAGAAAGGTGCTACTGTTTTGTACACATTTTTGTACAGTGTACAGTGTTTGCTGAGAAGTTATACTTAAGTTCTACAGTTCCTTGG